TCTGAGACGATAAAATAAAAAAGTGAACTGAGTACCATTTTAAACTTGGAAAATGTTTTCTAGAGCATATAAATAAAGAAATTGGAATTGAAAGTGAAATTTGGCATTTTAAGCCCTCCAAAAAGTTCAAATTTTGTAAAATTTTTAATTAAATTGGGCTCAGGCGGTAAATATAGGAACGGCTTTCATAGGCTATGGTGATCATCACTGGGTCGGGAAAAACAGTGCTTCCAGCTTACCTGAAGAGTGGGTCCACCACCTTCATCCTCTCTTCCTTCTTCTTCTTCCTCTTCTTCTTCTGCGCTGCAGCTCTTTACGAGTAGTCATTGTAGGCGATTCCGACAAGATGGATAGTGCAGACATTCGAGTGTAGGTGAAGTGGGGCAGAGTATTTGTGGCAGATATTGGAAATTGAACATTTTTGTAGGAAAGTGAAATGAGAGGAAATAAATCAAATTAAGATATATTTTTAAGATCAATTCAAAAATGTCTAATGTAGTTTAAAAAGAAGCTGAAAGTAACAGGCCTTTCAAGAAAAAAAGATGATCCATGTATTAAAGCTATCAAGTCTAGCAGAATAAATTACTTTAAGCAGAGCCCTAAAATAGCTTTTCATCTAAGGCGTGGTTTGGGGCAGAAAATGTTTTTCCGTTTTGGGTCATTTATCCGCGGAGTTAGATTCGCCAGATTCCAACTAAACTAAGCAAATCATGCATAGATATGAAGACCAAGATGGTGTAGCTTTGGGTTTAGTTGATGTCTTCTTTAGCAGAATAATGTTGGTTTGACATCATTTTGGCAACTTGGTCGGAGTGTTGCCTGCTCTTAAGTTTTCATAATAAGTTCTAGCATTGGACCGTTGACTTGGTAGATTCCCATACACTTCGCCAGCATCGTAGACGGCATTAACAGTGAAGGACTCGAGCCTTAGCACAAAGTTACCTCTTATCAAAATGTGCTTTCTTCAAGCCAGCAAAAAGCCCCATACGCTTAGCTGGTAAGCATCGATGAAAAGCCCAAATGCCAGGGCGATGAATTAGAGATAATACCGTTAGCCTAAACTTACCTTGGACATGATTCTGGCATAGGCCAAATAGAGCGGATCATCAGAAGCCTGCTCCATGGCGGATCGAGAGAGCGCCTGCAACAGCTGCCTCAGTGGGTCCGGCTGGCCCGTAAAGGCGACAATGGCACCAGCAGTTCCACTCTCAAGCGGGGCGTTGCTGGTTGCTGTCATGGCGCCGGACGGCAAAACTTGACTAGTT